TTGGCTGGTGGTCTCTTTTGCTTCCTGGGTGGCTTGAAATGAATTCATGTTTTCATAGTCGTCATCTTCACATGAAGAGTTGGGACTTTTCTCACCTAAAATAAGGTCATTGTTTATAGAAAGTGTACTGATTTAGAATCATGGCATGGGTAGTAAATTTCCATTACCTTCCGATCACTGAAATAACTTTAACGTGGGATGCTAGGGGAAGTTTCATACATTAAGCTAAGCTATAAACTATAGTTTACATATGCGTGCAATATGTTAAGCAGAATCAAAACAAACCAACAAGGGTAGTTGAATTCAAAACCATAGGTAGGTAATCTGATGCTCTCCAGTTGTGTTGGATTATAATTCTTCCAGTAAATGGTGGGGCTGATGGGATTTGGGCTGGAAAACATCTGGAGGACACGAAGTTGCCTATCCTATAAAATTGCTTACCTGTTTGGCTGGTGGTCTCTTTTGCTTCCTGGGTGGCTTGAAATGAATTCATGTTTTCATAGTCATCATCTTCACATGAATGGATAACTGTAGGAGGCTTGGATGTAACTGCTAATTCTTCCTGCACTTCTGCTCCTGAGCAGCACTGGCTTTCATCCATCGTAGAGCTTCCAGAGACAGATATAATCAGTATATCACATGAAGCTCTTCTGGTATGTTTTCACCATATTTTGTTGAATGAAGTGCAGTAGATTGAGTTCTCACAAAACACAAACCGGATGGTTTTTACATCTTACAGCCTTCTAATCTAATCTAACGGACTCCAGGACAGAACCACGCGGTTAGAAGAAGGCAGAGTTTCTGAGGCCTGGGATCATTCCAAGTACCCAGAGACCCCAGCTAGTTTGATTCAATTTGTTTTGTGAACGGAGATGATTAGATTTATACAATAAATGATGGCTTATTCATGGGTATCATGGATTACTATCCGATGTGAACAGAGACCCTGCATGACTTACCTCTATTGCAATAAGGACGACGACAACAACAAAACCAGCTCACAAACACTTTTAAATGAAAGTTCTTTTAAGCAAGTCCCAGTCTCAGTGTCCTAGGCAAAATTTACAAACAAGCATATCCCACAAGCCTGCCCACTTGCCCACTCTGATAATTAAGAGAGATAAAATCCTGACCTGGTAAAATTCTGGAAATTCCTTGATACGTTGTGAAGTTCTTGCCTCTAAAACGCCATGATGGCAACGTTTCTGGGCTCTTTTTGAGATCTCAAGAGCTGATAAACGTTCAGTTTCACTTTAGAAGTCTTGGTCAACTTCTCTATTTTATTCTAAGAAAGGGGGAAGTTTAGCTGGGTTTCCTCCTTCAATCATTTTCACTGTTTTAAGAAGATGGTTACTGCAGAAACGCAGATGGAGTCCAAATTTGTGCAAATGTAATCTATTTCTGAAATGTGCTACCTGGTTCCTGACTTTAGGTGAGGACAAGATCTTGGCACATTCCAAATAACCTGATCAGCATTGAGAATAGCAATCTTAAAAAGTGATCTGCATGCGATAGTGAAGCTAGTGTATGTGTTGATTGTCCCAGTCACCCATTTTTCTACATTCACATGAAAGTTTGCAGTCAGAAATGCCTAGATTTATTGAGCTAAGAACCAGGACTTCAGGAATTGGATTGGTGAAGAGCACATGGATTTTTAAAAGGTTTCAAGATCTATGCATTGATACTGCTTTATCTCAGATGTGCTATTTTTTGCTTCTTTGTTTTTATGGCTTGTGTCTGTTGAAAAAAATCCATGTAGACCCAGCTCCAAAACTCAACAATAGGGCAGATTGGAAATACTTTACATTCATAATAATTAATTGATGAGGATGGTGACGATGATAGAATCTGAAGCATCCTGTTTCAGCCTTTGACATCACATGTTTATTTGGAAGGGAGATTAACGTAGTTTAGAGAACAACATCTCAGATAAGTACAGTCTTAGAGTGCCAGGCCAAAAATCCAGACAGGACAAACTCACCGTGGGCTTTATGCAGTTTCTTCTGGATTGCCATCAATCTTCTGTTTGATCAGCTGTGTTGGTTGGTTGGTTGCCAAGGGCTCACCAACTTCTCCTAAATCTGCCCATGGAGATGTCACCAGTGAGGGATATTTCTAGGCTACCGTTGCCCAGATGCATCAAGTCCCCTTGAGCTCGTTAAAATAAATGGAAATGAAGTAGTAAAGAATCTCCATCCATTCTCAGCAGTTTAAAGGATTAATATTTATCAGTGATTGCCTGTTAAGCAGGTCACAGTTGAAATAAGCTCTACAAATACGTGAGCAGACAGCTTTTTGGCTATAAATATAACGTTGAAACTGCTTCCTGTCAAAAACAATAAAAACCAGTAGCCGAGAACTTTCTGATTTACCATTCTCTAACCCAATCTATCAGCAAAAGATAAAATGGCTTAAAATAGCTGCCACAGTCTAATAATAGAATTGTGCTACCATGAATATCTCACTGTTGTTTAAATTTCTGAGAATTCTGGCTGATAATTTCTGTTCCATTCTTTTTCAGCTGTTTTACCTATAGTACCTTGAAATGGGTTGCTTTATGAGGCTGCTATTATTATTATTATTATTATTATTATTATTATTATTATTATTATTATTTTTTGCAAGGATGAGATTTGGGGCACTAAGGGATCCCCCCCAAAAAAACCCTGATTGTGGGAGACTTTCTGAATTTTGGGGAATCCAAAACTGCTGACATTATTAAAAAATGGAGTGAGCAGATTATTTCTCCAGGACATAGTGAAAAACATTTGAGAAACTCCTTCAAAGAAAAGGGATGACTTTGAAGTAGGTTGAAGGGATGAAGTAAGTTCTTCAATTTTTCAACTGATGCCCTAGATCACAAAACACAGCAGGTTGGGTTACAACAGTTATTAAGCCATGATAGTTTCATTTTGTCTGAGTGTGTTATGTGACTCCGGATACTGTGGTTTGTCAACTGGAGAATATAGCTTAGATCTTTCATGCACACATCCTTTATTCAACAAACTGGGTTTAAACAAATGATAATCTAGCATTGTGTGTGAACCAGGTTGTACTCTTGTATTTTGCATCACTCTGTTTACAAACACAGAACAATTTAACTTTTTAAAAATAATTTCTAATAAAACACCCCCTCCCACTATCAAAACTCAATTGGTAAACAAACTCACATTTTAAAAGATGCTTGATTTTTTTGTACAGTGTGAGATGAGGTGAACATCCATTCAGGTTTAAAGAATACAGTTTTGAATCTTCTGAAAGAATAGACGCCGAATGCCCTTATCACTTTATACTGATGACAAGGATGCCTCACGGCTTCATATATTGGTGATCTTTAACTATCAAGGGTGCATTCTTGTGAATAAAATGAGATTGAAATACAATTAAAGACATTCTCACCCACCCGCCCCACAAAAAAAGATGGAAGAATCTTATTTGTTGATATTTCAGCCAGATATTTCTTTGAGGTTGCCTTTCCGGAAGTTACTAATTGGTTGCAGGACACAAAATTAGAAAGAATAGAACAAATACCGTTGTGAATGATAGACTAGGTAATGTTTTACAAACAATCTTGTTTGCAGCTTTTGGCACCAGTAGGCTTGGATCTCTGCATTAGATCTGCATTATTCATGATTCAATAAACATATTGGGATTATCCTGGAGAGGAAAAAATTAGAATTATAGATACGAAGGTAGAAAATGAGACTAGTTACCCTGCTCCAAAGGCCTAGCTGCACTATTTCAATTCCTATTCCTTCCAAACTCCAATATCTGCATTCAGGCTGCCTTTAAGTCTTAAGAAAGAGCCTTCTCCAAAGTTGCTCCTAAAATTGCTTGCCTTATTCCCTGCTCTTTTTTATTGCAAAACCCTTTTTATTTTGATTGGTAGATAGCATCTCAAGCTAGCGATGGAGACTTATATTTCCTCTCTTTCTTTTCTTGTGGAATTTTTTAGCCTGTTTGTATTTACTTATTTTCCTTGCATTTTGACGCTCTGGACGGACTCGAGTGTTTTTAAAATGTTTATTTAAAAAAGGAAAGGTGGAGGGAAATACAGTACGACACAATCATCAATCAAGAAGGTTCTGTGGAACTGAAGAAATCCAGAACCTGCAAAGGATATGTAGAGTTCAAGGGTCCATCACCTGTACCCCTACAGGTACAAACAGACCTTTTTCAAAAGCCCCCTGCAAGTCATAGTTTAGACTTCTGGCAGGAGTGATCCATACTAGTCTGCTGTGAAGGGAAGGAAAACGAGTGTCAGAAAGATAGAAGAAAAAAGGAAGTTCCAGAGACACCATAGCTAAGTTCCCCTGTGGCTTAAGATCCACCCACCAAGGACATGGGACCTTCTGCAGAGAAAGTCACCCACCCCTGCTCTAGCTTTAGTGTTAAAAAAGACATGGAAAATACATATGCTGATATAATAGAATAAACAGTTCATCAGGATTCACTCTAGGTTCCCACCTGAAGACTCTCTGGCTCTTAAACCGGCCTGGCTGTTCAAAGCCCATTTATAAGCCAAGAGCCTTCTTCTAAAGGGTACAGCTTGCAAAAGAATCTTCTTTGTTAATCCTTCTTTAAGGCCCATTACTTCATGCAGGTTTGTCCTTTGCCCACCGATTTCTTATTCTTCTTCAAGTGGTCCTGACTGACTTCTTCTTTCTTCTATTTCTTTAGGTACTTTTTGCAAAACCTGATCCATTGGGTTCTCTATTGTCTCATATGCTTTGATGTCATGGCCTGGAAATCTGCCATAACCTTTCCATTCATCCATGTAGTCCTGGAGATCAATCTGCATGTTGCTCTGATCTTGGTCATCTTCTAGATGCAGCTCTGAAGTGCTGTTCAACAAGTCACCATCATCTTTCACCTCGTGCATCATAGCAGTAATTTCCATACTATCACTGTCCCTGACATCTGGAATGCTGTCTGATAAGATGTCATGGACTATCACTGGTTCCAGACCTGGTGTGTACCACTTGGCTCCAGAAAACTCCAGGATTTTTTCCACTGAACTGCAGGAAAAGCAAATATTTCATCAGAGGGAGAGCCAAATTTCAGACTGCCCAACAGAAATTGGCCAGTGGCCCACAGGTGATGGGACACACCCCTGCAAATATCCTGAAGTAAAGTTAGAGTTATTCTGGATTGTTTTATAGGCTATGGGGAATAGCATCCATGATTGCTTCTCTAAACAAAAAGAAAAGAAATATTTACATATTATCATTTCAATAAAAGGTGGCAACGGGGTGGGTGCTTGTCAGTATTTTGAAAAGTCTGGACACTCTTTTGGAATGTTATATTTTGATTTTTGCCATAACACTTAAGGAAATGGTCCTGTGAGAACTTCTCAAAAGCCTACAGATTTACAGAAATCAAAGAGAACCCATTTCATCTGACAGTGTTTTATAATACTATTTCTTTTACTGATGCTGTTTCCAAATATCATTGCTTGATATTCAACTTTGGTTGTTTGGAAATCAGCAAATAATAGTTTGAACAATATCATACAGGTTTGGTCTAGATATTCTGATTCTTTCATCTAGAATCCATCTTGCTTGCTGGCTTCCCTTCTTCAACTGATTTCAGGTAGTTTCTAATGGCCAGTCCTGAGCCTGGGTATGAACTTCTCCAGATTGGTCCTACTTACCACATTATTTTAGCAAGCCAAAGAACAGAAAGAACAGGTACCTTCTCCTTGTCCTAAAACAGCAAAGACAGCACAAAATAGTTCCATGGAAACATCTCCAGCACTTTGATGTCCTCATTTGTTTGAGCCTTTGAGGTTGCACCAAGACCTCTTGGAAAGGTCACCTGAGCAAGACTTCTGCACCTGCACCTTCGGATCTATTAAGTCCAAACACTAGATAACCAAAGTTCCCTCTTGGCTTGGATGGAGATATCTGATTAGGGAATGCTCAACCTCTATGACACTAGACTACCTTGGGGTGCCTTTGTGACACCTTTCAACTCATGCTTTCTCTGCATTGTTCCAAGTCATTTGCATACTGGCATCACATTGGTGCAGAAGTGCTGCTAGCAAAGCAACCGGTGTTTAAAGCTAGCGAGGAGGAATTGAAAAGTAGGCCCACGTCTATCTATCTATCCATCTATCTATCCATAAATACCAGGGATGGTTGAAAACCATTGCAGTGCAAAAGATGCTGTTCATCCATAGGTCTGTGCAAAGTTATGACTTTGACGATGCTGAGAAAAGCACCCCGTTCAAGATACTTCATGGGGCCACCTTTCCAAAGACTGAAGTCCCTTCTGGCTACTGGATATGTGCAACGGAGTGACGTGAGGAGCCTCAGCTGCCTCTGGGACGGCTTCTCACCGACCCATGAATTGCCGCTTTAAAACTCAGGCACTCGAGTGGCGTGGAGCTGGAGGAACCTACTCCATGAATTTGGGAGAGAAACACTATACCTTTGCAAAGTGGCTTTTCCACGCCCCCCCTGCCCCGCAACCATACGACCCACAAGTACTTCAGGCAAAGCAAAAAGCATTTATTAAGTGGGGGAGAGTCAAGTCTTTTTATAGTGTACAGAAAAAAATGATACCTACAATTGGTATACGTGATGTGTCAGCAATCAAACAATAAAAGACATTGACTAGAGGCGAGAATTAAACAATAGAAAACATTGATTCTAGATAATGTTCCACAAGGGGCAAATTTATGGGTTACATCATTTCCTTTCCCAGTCGAGCTTCTTTCTTTCCTAACACTTGTAAGTGTATTCAGGGACTTCCAGAATACACTCCTTATTGTAGTTGCTGAAAAGGCTAGTTTTTGCACATAAAAAAAAAGGAAAAAAAAGGCTTTGGCTAAAAGGGAAACATGGATTCCTGAACTTCAAAAGGAGACATGGATGCCATGCTAAAATGCTAATGTCTCCTTTATTAAAAATCTAATAATGAAACCTAAAATTCCTAGGTTTCAGGTAACACTGCTTTTGGGATTTAGTGTTTTTATGTTCGTTATTTTTCTATTTCTCTTGCATTTTCAAAATGTAAACCCATGTTGTGGTTCTAATTAAAAAGTGATGCAGAAATGCTATAATTAAAAAATGCAAAGACTCTGGTCATTTAAAAGAGGAAGTCTCATTATTCATACATTGATTTAGGGTGAACTTCGTGTTTAACGAATCCTGCCCGAGAGCAACAATAAGTAATATTTTTCCCATGTAGAAAGGGGAATGTATTAACCCCATGGTCAAGGGGAGCATGACCATCGCTAACCAGGCTGGCTAAAGTATAGAGAACTTTTAATATCTGTATTTCTTTTGGATGGATTTGATTTTTTATAAAGGTGGTTCTCCACAAACCCTTCTTGTAACGCAAGCACGCTAACTACGTTTCCCTTTCAACAATACATTGCTGTGTTCCTGGTACAGTGATTGACGTTCTCATTAAAAAAGAAAAAAAGAAAGATCGCTTTGATGGTGAAGCCTTTCAAATGAAGGAGCAGTCCTGGCTCTGGGGGAGCGGGAGCCCCTGAACCCCGTGATGGTTGCGCAATATTGTAAGAAGAGACTCGCGGTTGTGCCAAATCTTTGGGCTGGAGCCATTTCTTTCTGGTTGGGGATGGTGACCAACATGGTCCAGCGAATGCCACTCCAGAACCAGGTTTGCTTTGCCGCCTTCCTGTGCTTCAAGGGATGTTCTAGGTTCCTGCTGGAACCACGATTTGCTTCTCCTTCTTCTCCCACATCCTGGCCTCCTGCGGATGCAGCCACGCTTTGCTTCCCTGAGATCTGGCCTCTTTGCTCCTGATCCTGAAGCTTCCTTCATTCCCGGTCCTCCATTTCCTCAGCGTAGCAACCTGCTGGCAGGGCCGTACCTATGTGGGCAAGATGCCCGAACCCCGATGGTTGCTGATCCATCCCAGAGCTTTGGAATACCACGGAGGGCTGTTGCCATGGCGACTTAGCAGCCTTTCAGTGCACTTGCTCATGCCTCGCTTTGCTTTTTTAACAACCAACTCTCCCTCCCGGACCTTCTCTTCAAACAGCTTCCGGGATATTTTGGGGAGAACGACCGAGAGGGATACACAGGCGTGCATAAAAATGCAGGGAGCGTGGGAAAAAAGAACGCTCTGTCTTGTGTACATGGAGGCAGAGAAGAGGACACGAAGTGAAGGATGAGACCCTCGGTGATTGGTCAGCTTGAAGCCAGAGCCAGTGGACCGGGATTGGCTGGCTGTTCTTTGTCCTCTGCCATCGGTCAATTTCATTGAAGGAAGGGCAAGCATTGAGTGATGGGCAGTTTTCTGCAAACTCTAGAGCAGTGTTTCTCAACCTTGGCAGCTTTAAGATGTTTGGACTTCGACTCCCAGAATTCCCCAGCCAGCATG